AAAGTGATCAATTTCTTTGATATTGCTGCAACTTGTGTAGTCAAAATAGATAAAGAATTATGTTCATAAACTCCAGCCACTCTCTTAGGATTCATCTTACTAACAGGCCACTGAAAATTATGTCATATTTTCAATTAATTCATAAGCATCTTCAAAAGGCTTAGACATCAAAGAACCTCCAGCTGCAGTATCAATTATGGCTTTTAGGGATCCTACCAATCCATTGTAAAAGGTTTAAATTATCACTTTCTAAGCATCTCATTGAATCTCTCCCAATTCTCATAAATAGATTCTCCTTCTAATTGAGTAAAAAAAGTAATATCATTTCTAAATTTGACAGTCTTAGAAGGTGGGAAATACTTTCCTAGAAGTTTGTGGGCCAACTTATTCCATGTTGTAATAGATACTGGGGATAAAGAATTTAACCACATTTTTTTCTTGTCTCTTAGAGAAAATGAGAACAATCTATGTCTAATGCATCATCACTAATACTATTGTATTTAAATATTGCACAAATTTCTAAGAAACTTGCTAAATGTATGTTAGGGTCTTCAATGGGAGTTCCCCCAAACTGAGAATTTTGTATCATCTTGAACGTTAGAGCTAAGTATACCAATAATTTTCAAACCTTTGGACAGTGATCATTACCCACTATGCTTAATTCATTCTATTAAAGCCTCCCAATATCACAAACTCCCTCTGATCTTATATGTACATCCAACCTATGGAAGCCTCACCCAAACCATGAATTCTCTGATCACCTGTAAATACACCCAACCTAAGTAGAATGAGCTTCATTTATGTATTAGGATGGAAAAGAAAAACAAACAAGTACAGCAATCAACGTATCTCCATTACAATCAAAATCTTAAACATGGTTCAATGACCATTAAAGTATAAATTTTTGAGAATAAATCCATGAACAATGATACTGATCTCCACTATCATATTGCCTTACGGAGAGCAGTGATGCCATGCATCAAACATCCACTATATGATTTCTTGACTTACAAAGGGATTTCACTTAAATTTTATAATTTTGTCACTTATCTTAATTAAATATAGTGATGGGGACATCGTCAGAGATTGCGACACATGTACCATCAGGAGATGCCGGAGATCGACGGCCACGATCATGACCTTTATTTTCATCATTTTATGTAGTAGTTTATTTGATTTTTATGTTTTCCGTTTTTGCCCTTATGGGTAGTTGGTCGTTATTGTAGCCCGAGGGGCATTTTAGTCTTTTGTTGTCTTGTCATTTTGAGGCCTATTTATATGGTCATTTTCTGATGTAATTTTAGTTTTGGATGAAATGAAAA